TTTTTTTTGTTTTTTTTTTTTTTTTTGGTCGTCAAATCTCCGGGTCACTGTGCCGTGTTCTGAACGAAACACACTGGGACTAGGGACTTGGTAAAATCATGAAAATGTTCTCTTTGTACGTATTTTTTTTTCTTTTTTTTTTTTTACGTCATGTGTTAGGGTAGTTCTTGGTCCTTTTCGCACGTTTCCGAGCAGCTTTACTAAGCCCCACAGTCGAGGTGTAGCTTCGAGCCAAGATCAACGAGACGTGTCCGCGAATTCTCACTTTCTCTCTTGTAATTTTTTTTTTCTGTTTTTTTTTTTTTTTTTTTTGTTACAACCCCTCGCTCTCGGTAGTTCGTCTTCAGACGAAATCAATTTTTTTCGTATATCTCTCTGAAAGACAGGAATATGGTGATTACAAATTTTGTACAACAGAAATCAATTGTAGTTTCGATAATATTTTGAGGTGTAAATGTTACGGGTAAAAATTTACATTCGCTCGGGGAATTTGAAATCCTAACAGCTACGAATTTGTCATTATATTAGTATATTAATATATTTACTTAACTAACTGCCTGTTAGATTATAAATTGTCATTCTGTACTGATATATTAATTTATTAATTAAATCAATTTCATTTGCATTAAATTATCAATTCACCGTTGGGATAAGTGAAGGACTGTCTACGTTTATCGATGGCTCGACGATACTCCCCTCACGCAGAGATTTGAACACTAATAGGAACTGTACACGACGAAAGTGCAAAGTGCTCCTCGCTATCAAAAACAGATCTTTCTTTTTCTCGGTTTTTTCTTTACGTGACAATTTCTTTTTTACGTGGGAATTTCTCGACAATCTTCGAAAGCATTCGCTCGGACGGCACTTCGAGTTTCGTCGGCTAAACAATCGGGGAAAAAGGGATGATATGTATATATATATGGTGGTAAAAAGAGAGGAGGGCAACATATCGTCAACGAGTGGCAGCAGTGCGTCTCGAAAGTGTCGAAATACAATCGGTGAGAGGATGTAACGTAACAACTCAACTAGAGTTACGGTAGACCGTATCGTGGCACGAGAAAGAAAAATATCAAAAAATAAAAAGAGACAGAGAGAGAGGCAGAGACAGAGAGAGCAAAAATAAAATGCCAAATAAAATAACATTCCGCAGCGACTGGTTCGAAGAAGAGAGGATTTTCGTGACAAAACAAAACAAAAAAAAAAAGAAAAACCAAAAAAAATCGACTGTGAAAGGAAATCTTTGAACAATCGTGGGTTTTCTAGAAAATGAAACAACTACGAGGCTCTATAGATTATACAGGCTGAGTCGATAAGAACTGTTATTTAAAATAATCCTTTTAATTCTCACCTAATGACATTTACATCACTTTTCGATATCCGATTGTACGTATATAACTTTGTAAAAAGTTCCTGCAAGTGTTTAAATATTTCTGTAAGCAATTGGTAATTGCATTCATTGACCCGTTTAATTTCTACGTTTGCGGTATTTAAGTCAGAGTTGGCCAACTGGCGGCTATGATCGCTAGCGCTATCCCCTCTACTATGTCAATCTCTGCAGTGGAGGGGGTAGTGCCAGGAAAGTGGGGGCAAGGGCTCACGAGCCGCCAGTTAGCCGTCTCTCATCCAAATCATCGTACGAAACAAGTTAAAGGCAACTATTTAATAAAATACCAATACGCGACAACGTGTAAGAACATTACGCTACACGTATATATATCGTACATCTCGATACGTTAGAGTATATAATTCTACTCATCAACTAACAGTTCTTCATTGACTGGCACCCTATATTTTCATACTTCTACCGTAAGTCTGGGATCGTACAGCATTTACCTCTACAAATTACTTGTTAATTAATATCGTTTGTTTACGTACTGTAGCAACTGATGAATGAACGGAACAATTGCGAACACAGGCGAGATAGATTCCCTCCAAAGCTAAGTAAAGCGCAGAAGACCGCGTCGTTCATTGACTTCTCTCACGATAGTCTCTCGAGCGAGGAAACGCTCTGCGTTCTCGTGACGATCGATTCGAAGAGTCGCGTGGACGTTTAGTATCGAGTGATCGTCCCCTTGCGTCTGTCTTTGTCGTCGTAACGCGCGTTTGAAATCGTTAGAGACGCGAAGCTTCGAAAGTGACAGGGGTTGGAACACTTTTTCTATTTACCAGAGATACTTCAGTGACGTTAGAATTTCAATTGATTTGTTTTTAAAAGATGTAAAATTGCACGAATATCTGCAGTTTATTTGAATCAATTCTCATTTTGCCAAATTTTACCGAATCATTTCTAGAAAATTTTCCAAAGTGTCTTTTGCAAATTATTGTGGAAAATGATTTTACTTCAATAGAGAGCTTTGGATCTGAATTGAAGTAGCAGCAGTTTTAGACGTAAGAAGGGATATAAGGAAATTTGAACAGATATAATTGGAAATTTCTGTCTGTTGCAACGCACTGTCTGTTTGGAGGAAAATTTTTACATGACGATTAGTTGCGTTTCTTGTTACTTTCGAAACTTGCTTCAATTCTTGGACAAGGTGTTCAAATCTGTGATTTGAGCACAGATCGGCAAGGCCTGACTCTTCAAATTCTACGTTGCCGGGAAGACATCGAAAAATAGGAGAGGGTGCGACCGACAGGTCTAGAGCTGAACAAAAGAACAAAAAACGCTTCATCTGATTTCCATGCAGCTGTCAGCATGTGTGACAGCCGGCCATTAATCACAATTCTACGTCATTTTACTTTTTCTCTCTCGGTACTCTACGCACGAGCCTCTCAGAAGCCAAACTAATCAACTCCATCTTTTGAAAATTTCTCAGCCTTGTGGCAGTATTCTCGAAAACGAGACGATGCACTTGCACAAATTCACTTACCGTAGGAAGATAATTTTTTCTTTATGAAAAATTTTAAATATGGCGTTAAATTTTAAATATATTCCATTTCTTTCAACTGTAAAATTACGAGTCCATATAAAATATAACAGTAAAGCACCATCTTCTTCTGTTTCTCGATTTATATATAATTACACATTGTGCAGTGGTGTAAGTCGAAATACGAGACGTGAAGCGTACAATTTTTGAAAGAATGTTGCTTTCCTTTTCACGCGAAGCGTTGCAAAGTCCTAAACTAGAATCATATAACGATTACTTTCGACTAAGCTAAATATTGAGTCGCACCACTTTTGCACGTATTTATTAATACGTGAAGTTGATCAACGTGGCTTCTCAGACAGCTCGTAAATTCCAATTGTGCTTTCGCAGGTATTTCTTTTTTCTTTTTTTTTTTTTTTCTTTGCTTTAACGTGTCTCTTTTTGCCTCGTTTGTCTCGTCCGTTCTTTGCAACGTCTCCCGAGCCACCCTTGAAGCCGGCCTACAACTTTCGCCCGGTGCCACCCTCTCGACGCTTGCGCGCGCTACGTTCTGTTACCGTTTCGCTTTGCTTTGCCAAGCTCGCGCGGAAAAAGTCACCGCGGAAAAATAGCACGAAAGCAAAAAGCAGTCGAAAAGGGAAATGACGCGTTCGCCTCGTTTCGACGAGAGATCGGTGAACTTCGACCGTTTCTCGAACCTGCCCGCGCGGCGTTGAAATTTATTTCTGCTTTTTCTTCGAAAAAAATGGCCACCGCCGCGAAAAATCGTTCCCAATCCTCCGCGTGCAACGAGAAATAAAAGCGACGTCAGAAGTTCTTGTTAATCTGGCAAACGCGGCTTGGTGCAAGATCGTGGGAACTTTGCTCTTCGATTTTTCGGAATTTTGATTTCTTGAGTTTTCCGTCACTTTCGAACAAAAAATTATTTAGAATATTAAGTACTTTCTACTGTTTTTTTTTTTTTTTTTACTATATAATAATCCTGGACTATAAATTTTGTTTAGCATTGAATAATATTTTAATATTTACCTTTATTTCTTACTGTATTATTTGAGTTGCAAAGAAATTCTTAGAAAATTGTAATATTCTTTACTTATTACTGTATCATTTGACTTGCAAAGAAATTATTCGAAAAAATTCAGTGAAACTTAAATATTCCAAAATTATTTGGTGCACACCGCAAATGGTGAAATTATAATATTGTAACAGAGAGTAGAGATTAGAAGTTCTATCAGAGATGGCAATAAAATTCCAACGACGAATTCCATTCTCTCGCGAAACGAGAACGTTCGAGGCGACTCGTTGAGCAAACTTTCGAAAAAAAAGGAACGAATTGGCGAAGTTTCCTCGGTTAATTGGAACCGGTGACACGTAGCGAGGCAGATCTCTCTCTCTCTCTCTCTCTCTCTTGGCAAGGCAAATCCGATGGTCGACGAAAGACTTTTCGCCGAAACTCGTGCCGCGTCCGGGACTTGGCGAAATGACAGTAATGGCTTCGCTTTATTATTAAATATTCCGCTTCTTGGCCGAAAAGCACGTGCCACGCGCGCACACGTTGTCCGTGTGCCTCTCGATGCACGAAAAATTCTCTCTTTCAACGTCTACCATTGTACCGTACAATCTTCTCAAAAAATAAAAAAAAGAGAAGAAAAAATGGTCAAAAAAGGTCACACATAGCGCATAGATATCGAAACTGGAGAAAAAGTACATGAAAATTTAATCGATTTCAATTTGAGAATTTGTCAATATGAAATAATCTTTTTTTTCTTTTCTCAAAAGAGAGTTTGATTAGTAAAAAGAAAAATTCGCGACTGGCATTGACTGGTTTCAAAAAATCCGTTTTTCCTCCCTTTCTATTACTCTTTCTGGTGTGCAAATATTTTTCGAAAGAGGGGA